GGTGGGTTCGAAGTCATACATCCTTTCAGTACCTACGCATACAAACACGTTAGGATGAGGCATCACTTCGAAGGACTCTCACCTCTTTCCTCCACCGGTGACATCTCATCCGACAGGGGCAGACGAACGCTCCCCTCTGCAGGGCATGATTTTCAGATAAACAGTTCACAAGCCAGGTAATAGTTTCTTTTGAATAATAGAGGTGTACTTGTAATGCCCAAAGTAACTATTGTGCCATATGATTATAATATTTCCAATCAAAATGATCCTAATAATTCAAACCAAGTATGATTCAGGTAGCATTCCATCGAATGCCACCTGGTACCATTTTTCGTTTTATATATAATAAATCGTCACTTCTGTAGGTTGTTTTTTGGTATCAAAATGTGTTTTCATTGTCCCTATTCAATAATGAAGATGAGTTTGCCGATTAATGTGGAATGAGACAACTTTTTTCAATAAGCGTGTTGAGTTGAATACGACTTTCTCTTCCGTCTCGATGGAAAAAATCATGCTCCATATTTTTTCATGATTTGTCATCTACAGGTCGATTCTGTGTGTAAGATTGCAGTATGTCTGTAGGTTAGATACTCCGCAATATCCTTGTTATGAAGCTGGATAAAACTGATATGCCGATAGACTACTATGGTTGATAGATTCCCATATTAGTATCAAATCCTGAATTGTTTCGTTGCATGAGTGAATGTATTAACATATTTTGTGACCTCTGATGATCGTCAAGTTTCTTATCTCCATTAACTACTGTTTTAAATTAATATCAACGAATTCAAACACAGTTTTAGGCACATTGAATATTTTATGATAACTAGCATATTATACCAAAATGACTTTCAATTTGCATATAGAATAGACTGGTGAGGAATGTATGCTAATTTGTTCGTCTGGAAAGTGTACCGAAATATCAAACTAAACATTTCAATAGTTTCTGTTGTCACTGTGTCACTATTCGATTGACGAATTTTTGAATAAATATGTGTCCATTGCACTTCAAATAGCAGTAGCGTGATATACAGAGATTCAAGGATATATTCTGAGAGCCCAAATCAAGTGACAATAGCAAAATGTGGACAGATTTTCAATATGTATGCGAATAAAGAAGATAT